GGCAACATCATGATAAACGGAGAAAGGATTGTTGTTGTCAAGGATTTCGACTTGGATTTATAATCAGTGCTCATGGAAGCAGCCGCCAAGAGATCAACCGGCCCATTGCATTAGGCAAATCTGCTGCACATGACCACTGTAGAGTGTTGAACAGCCAGGATGTTACTTTAAGCCGAGGTGCACTTGACCCACGCCATGGTATTTTCAATGGACTCATGCATGTGAAAGTTGAATCAGGAAGGCCGAAGAAGAATCGGTGCATTTGAATTGTGGTGCTGGTGAAGAGTACTGAAAGTACCACGGTCTGCCAGAAGAACAGACACATCTGTCTTGGAAGTATAGCCAGATGCTCCTTCGAGGCAAGGGTGGCGAGACTCCCTCTCCTGTACTTCACATGTTGTCAGGAGAGACCACACCCTGGAGCAATGTATCAAGCTTGGTGAAGTGGAAGGCCAGGGAAAGAGAAGGCCCTTGACACAGTGGATCGAGGCCCGGGCTGCCGCAATGAGCTCAAACATCAGAACCGTTGTTTTGTTGTACATAGGCCGGCTACTTGTGGGCGTGTGTGGTCCCCTTTGGTCTGGAGTAACGTGGCATTTCTCCCCACAGTCTACTGGCCTGAGCCAGGGATGGAAGGGGGCTGGGGCGCCCGCTATTTCTCGTCTGTCAGGAAAGAGAGAAGAGCCAGCCGTCTACCAGGGAGCACGTGGTGGCTGTACCACCCTGACCTTACTGCCCTGGTCCTTCCCACAGGGAAGCATGTAGACTCTCGGAGTGTCCTCCCACTGCTTACACCCCTGTGTGTCTTTACCGGACGAGTTCCTGGGATGGGACCAAGAGCAAGCGTGGATGAAACTTTGGGAGCTTCCCAATGCTGTGCACCCAAGGGCAAAAAATGGGGCTTTTAATTCCCTTAAAGAATTATGGTCTCAGAAACTCAAAAGGGCAGTTCTACCTTGGCCTATAGCAGGGGTCCTCAAAACTTTTAAACAGGGGGCCAGTTCACTGTCCCTCAGACCTGTTGGAGGGCCAGACATTAGTTTTAAGAAAAACTATGAATCAATTCCAATGCACACTGCACATTAGTTTTAAGAAAAACTATGAATCAATTCCAATGCACACTGCACATATCTTATTTTGAAGTTAAAAAAAGGGGCAAAAACACCCAGTGGGCCGGATAAATGTCCTCAGCGGGCCGCATGTGGCCCGTGGGCCATAGTTTGAGGACCCCTGGGTTACCATGAGTCCGTCTCGACTCAATGACTGTGAGTTTCATTTTTGGTTTGGTACCCCAGGGCTGAATGATCGTTACAGGGACTTCCTGAGAATATCCGGAACTCTTTTTGATACCGTTCAGGATGTGGCTTTTTGCTGTGTGACCTTGTTCCTGTCCCAGCACACTGCTCTACCATAAAGGGTGCTAGGCTCTGCTGGGCCCAGGGTCTTTGTGACCAGCGAGTCATGGAGCATGTCAACAGGAGAAGGACCGAGGCACTTGGCAAAGAGTCTACATGGGGCCTGCACAAAGGGTGTGGAACAACTCCGAGTTTTCTTAAATTGCGTTTCCCCCCACCACCTTTTTTTTTAAATACTCTCGGATTTCTCAAGCACAAATCTTTATGTAGTTTAGCAACATTTGTCTGAATATGTATGATGGTATTCATTCTCTCTTCTCTCTCAGTGATACAGATAGATATTTAAGCAAGGAAGGGCATTCTTCGTAACTACCGCCTGCTCCCACTGAGCAGACTGGCTCCTGGAGGCCCCGTGGAGATGCGTGTCGACATGTGATCCTTGGAGGTTTCAATGGCTGTGAGTCTTTTGGAAGCACACCACCAGAACCACCAGCCTTTTGGTCAGTGGCCCAGCGTTTGCAACACCCACAGGCCCCTGTTCTTCCACAGTGGTCTTAACCCCCAGACAGATAGAGCCACAGGCTCACAAGCCTGCCCCAGAGACGGTTCACAGTTCAAGATGCTCCGGGGAGATTTCTGGATGGGAAATGGGGGGTTCCTGAGGGTGCCTGCAGGCTGCTGTCTGACTGCACCATCCACTGAAAGACACTCAGCCTCCATTTCAGAGCGGCAGTGTGGAACTGGGTTCCGGTCGGCACTTGGGCTAAGTGAGCACCAGCGCTGGCTTCCCCTTGTCTCCCAGCAGTCGGATAGTCTTCCTGTCATCATCTATGACCCTGAGAGTTACAGTTGTGTAAATCTCTTCCCACTCTTGTTTTTGGACGAGTGCGTACCGACCCCTCAAGAGGCATGTGGCTTAGATGTTCGAGCTCATAGTTCAGAGAGGGCATTCTTTTCGCCTTGTGATGGATTTTGCATGGGGCTCTTGACCTCTTGCAAGCTGGTTGCCCACGAGTGGAGGAGGACCCGGGCTTGTAGGTGATGCTGTGCATGTGATTCATAGCGCCTGGCCCTCCCTCCATCCCGGGGAAGTGACCACATCGTGTTTGGAGGCATCATGACTTTCCATGGAAGAAGTTTTTCCTTGAGGGCTTCCCAGTCCCTCCCCTGGCAGGAGACGGGCAGCGGGGCTGATGGCCAGCTCCCTTTCTAAATTTACCCTTCTGATTTAAACATGCGCGTAGGACTCCTGGGGAAGGTCGTTGGTGAAAGTGGAGCTTCGGGCCACGCAGCCAGTGACCCGTCACTTGGTTTGGGCGGAGGGCGGGGTGTTTTCTTAGTCCGGAAATAGCATCGTCGCGGGGCCCGTGGGTTACGCAAAGCCAGAAGGTCTTCGGTGTTGGATACTGGAGAGCTCAGGGCAGCTGGCCTTCCCCTGCCCGCAGGACAGGCTCTTCTGGAAGATCTTAGAATGTTAGTGGCTGCTTGGCTTCTCCAGATGTGCATCCTCCCCCCTCCCCCTTTTTAAAGGAAAATCAAAGCCAAGGTCATTGTCTCCTTGGTTTTGGTTGAAGAAACCAGTGAGGAAAAGCGATGGTTGGTGAATCTTGACTGCTTTTCCAGTTGGCTCGGCCACATCGAGGTTCAGTCAGTAGGAGTTTAATTTACTCAATCACACATTGGCATTCACTGGCTTGGAAATTCTGTACGGAGATAGAAGGGCTTGGCTTTAAGTAAGTGCCCAAATGGGAACTAAGGAGCGCTGGTCGTGTAGTGGTTAAATGCTTTTGCTACCCGAAGATTGGCAATTCACACTCATCACCCCCCGTTACAGCCTGCTTCCCTGAAGGTTCAAACCCAAACCACATCCATTTTCATCGAGTTGATTCTGACTCAGCGACCTGACAGCACAGAGTAGAACTGCTCCTTAGGATTTCTGAGACTGTAAATATGTACAGGCGCAAACAGCCTCATCTGTCTCCCCAGGAGTGGCTGGGGGGTGTGAGCACAAACCTTGCTGTCAGCTGCCCCATGCCTAACCACAGTACCATGAAGGTTTGGAAATTCTGTTCTCAGGGGACAGTTCCTCCCTGTCCTATAGGGTCTCTATAAGTTGGAATCTACTTGGCAGCAGTGGGTTTGGAAACGGGAATGAGGAGCCCCGCTGATGTAGTGGGGTAAGTGCTTGGTTGCTAACCAAAAGGGCGACAGTTCAAACCCACCAGCGGCTCCTTAGATGCAAGATGCGATGTCTGCTTCTGAAAAGATTATTGTTGTCAATGATGGGTGCCATCGAGTCTGTTCCAGCCTAGAGCGACCCTGTGTCTAACAAATGAAACACTGCCTGGCCCTGCAGCCTCCTCACGATTGTTTAATGTTTGAGCCCATTGTTGTAGCTACTGTGTCAGTCCATCTCATCCAGGGACTTTCCTCTGTCTCAGGGCCCCTTTACTTTCTCAAGCACGATGCCCTTCTCCAGCGACTGTTCCCTCCTGATGACGTCTCCAAAGTATGTGAGGCATAGTCTCACCATCCTTGCCTCTAAGATATTCTGGCTCTACTTCTTCCAAGACAGATCTTTTTGTTTTTGTGGGAGTCCTTGGTACTTTCAATATTCTTCTTCATCACCACAATTCAAATGCATTGATTCTTCTTCAGTCTTCCATATTTCCATCTTTCACATGCATATGAAGCAATTGAAAATACCATGGCTTGGGTCAGGCATACCTTGGTCCTCAAAGTCATGTCCTTGCTTTTCAATATACAGGTACTGTAAAGAACAGTTCTACTCTGTTCTCTGCCCTGTAGGGAAGCTATGCTTCTGTATACGCTGGTGTGGTAGTTAGATACTGTTGTGTCAACTTGAAGATTAAAAAAGTGTAGGGGTGGAGTGTAGCCTGTGCATCAGGTCACAGCCTGATGGCATCTCCTTGTGGGCATGACTTGCTCATAAGGAGGGTCCTGGGAACCTCTCCCCACTGTCCCCAACCCCACTCTGCACTTTCCTCTTTACGAGCCACACTAAGACCTGTGCAAGCCCTGGACGTGCATCCACTGCCGTTGGATCCAAAAGACTTTGCAGCCACCGGCTGGTGATGTTCTTGCACTCTGCATCGTTGCTGTGGCTTCTGAGTCTGAAGAGGGACTTGCGGAATACTGTCGGACTTATGAACTTGAGTTGGACTGAGCTGGGGTGTTTCATTGATGCACAATTACTCCTTGATGGGAAGCTCTCATACATATAGGAATGTCCCTGGGTTTGTTTCTCTAGTCAACCCAGCCCAACACAACTAGAAAAATCACAGCCTTTGAAATCCTTTCTGGGGCCAGTTCTGCTGTGCACAGCAGTGAGATGTGGACAGTTTGACTCCTGTGTTGGTTGTTTTGTGCCTACCTCCAAAACGACACCTCTCTTAGGCCGTTGCCTACTTAGGAGCTGTTTCAAGTAACCATTGGTGCACAAACATCATAAAAGGTGAAAGAATACTATCCCCTTAGCAAAATAGGATCATAGTCCGTACGATAACCGTGTGATGCTGTGGGCTGGTGGTTCAGCCCCTCCAGCCGCTCCTCAGGAGAAAGATATGAAGGTCTTTTTTCTGAAAAGATTACAGCCTTGGAATGCTGTCCTTTTAGCAAAATCGGATGGTGGTCCACGCGGTCCTGCATGGTGAGAGCCTCCCTGCTAAATGATTACCTTCAACATGATCAGAGAATACTGTACTTCCCTTTTGTCCTTAGAAACATACCTATTCCATCTCTGATCCTTCCTTTCACCCTAGAAAGGGTCCCCGCAGACTCATCTGGTCTGAGATGCCACCTTGCTCATCCATTTCCCTGGCATCGTTAGACTCCACTGCGCTGCTCCTGCCTCTGGCACCCATCCTCTGACTCCCCTCATGAATTAGTTAATTGTGCCAGCCTGGCCGATAATCACATGTGGTGCTGGTTGAAAGGCGGAGGGATAAATGGGTGGTGAAGCCTCGTCTTTCTAGTTCTCGGGTCTCTTGTTTTGTGATGGTTGCATCGGGTGCAGCTGCCTTAGCAGTTCCCTGCTTCAGCTTGCAAGATGGATTTCCTACAAGACATCCCCAAGGAGAAGCCGCATGGATCTATCCCGATGCAGCCCTGGGTGCTGGAGCAGCCATGTGGAGACCCCTGCTAGTGCTGAGATGCTTATTCGTTCACTGACTCAGCTTTCCTCCTGCAGTCAGCATTATTGCCTCTGTTTTGTGAGGTGAAGGACTTTGTGGACTGGTGTTGGGTACGGGTTAATGTTGGACTTGTGGGCTTGGGCAGCATTGGGTTGGGATGTTTTCGTGATGCACATTTTCTTTGCATAAAACTCTCTTATACGTGAGTTGCTGTGGATTTGTTTCTCCAAAGTACCTAGACTAATACACCTCATAACTGTGAAATGCCTTCCTCTGTCAATTTCCTCCTTCTTCACCTCATGGGGGCAGAATGAGAAATTGCACGAATCCCCAGCTGTGTTCCGCAGAAGCTGAGAAGGATGTTAAGGATGGCGTCTTTAGGCTTCCTGCGGACCTGTCATGAAAAATGCTGCAAAGCTCTGAGCAGTGTGATGGGAACGCTGAAGGGGGTTGTGGGCCTGATGGTTGCTCTCCCTTGGGGACCATCTCAGGTGATCTCACCCCTTCTAGCTCTCCTCCTTCTCATAGTCAGGGAACTGATGGGTAGCTGTGATGAAAGTAGTCGCTTGGGGTGGTGCACGTGGTTTGCACTCGACTACTAACCTGGAAGTTTGTGGTTGGAATCTACACGGTGGTACAGCAGAAGCAATGCCTGGTGATCTGCGTCTGTTAAGATTACAGTGAAGAAACCATCCTGGAACTTCTGCAACCCACGGGTCCCCAAGAGTCTGCAACACATGGGAATCTACTTGCGTTATCATCTGCATTTGCTTGTTTGTTTTCAATGGTGAAATTACTTCTCTCACTGCCCTCGAGTCAGTGCTGGCTCATGATCAACCTGGAGGACAGGGTAGAACTGCCCTCGTGGGTATTGGAGACCTCACGCTACGGAATTAGAAAGCCCCATCTCTCTTCCGAGGAGCGGCTGGTGGTTTCGAAATGCTCACCTTGCCATTAGCAGCCTAATGCCGAACCGCTATACTGCCAGGGCGCCTGAAATAATTCCTGGAATGAGAAAATAGCTAATTATTTCAAGATACAGATAAAATCACTGGCTTCATATGGCAGCTCAGATTTTTACACATGGTAATTTTAAGCTAGAATGGCTTTTTGGAAGACTTCCAAGAAAGAATGAATAAAGGTCATGCCGAGCAGTTCTTGCGAATGGTTAGAACTGCTCCATAAAGGATTATGGAATTTTGGAGCCTGGGGGCGCTGATGGACCTGCCAGATGGTCTCCCACTTCTAACACATCAGCAGGAAATGCCTGAAGGCAGACAGAGATGACCCTAGCAGGGTGCGGACTGCAAGGTTACTTCTATTACAATAGAGAAAAACCCAAGTGTGTAGCATAGAGCAGTCCATTTGCTGTGGCACGCCAGCTTATGGGATGGTTTTATAGCGTAAAGAAGAACATTTGAAGAAGTCCCTGATGTGGAATTACAGTCGTGATAACCAACCGCTTGCCTCCGACTCTTGGCCACCACCCGGGTGTCAGAATCGGAAAACTGGGTTCCATGGGTGTTTGGTCCTGACCCACAGTGGAAAGCACAATTATGGAAGGAAATAAAGAAGATAGTGGAATACAGGGGACCCCCTATCCATTATCCAGAGAAGAGAGCCCAGAGTTTATTCCACAACAAGGTTTTATAGTACTGAGGTCTGCAAGCTTCTTGCTAATACACACACACTCAAGTGGACAATATGTTCATCTCGAATAGCCTGATCCCTCAAGATAAATACGAAGGGAACACCAGGCTTGCTAGAGAGAAGAGGTGCGAATAGCTCTTTAAGAATAAGAAAGACAGGAAGTGCGTACTCTTAGAGATAGGCATCTTTTAACTGGATGTGAGGAGCCAGGCATCTGTAGGAGACAGCTTTGTATCATCAGCTTATGGAGGGTGGATTCAGAGAAACGTGCATTTGGCGCTTTCCTTATCTTGGGACTGTGGGGCCGCTCCTGTGTGCCTCTCACTGGGGATGGCTTGCGGAGCCCCGCGCTCACGAGTGCTGGGAGCAGGTCACGCACACTTTCTTCCAGGTCCTCAGTTTCCCAGACATAGGCTTCTCATTGGCTGTCTTTTTGGAAAGACCTTTCTTGCTCTGAATGGACTAGAACCCCTTACCTTCTGGCTAGCAGCCGAGTACATAAGTCATTTGCACCGCCCAGAGACTCCATAGTCATAGTAAAACACTAAATTTATACAGCACTATTTGCTGTCAGCTAAGCGGTGGTTCAAACTCACCAGCCACTCCATGGGAGAAAGATGAGGCTCTTTGCTTCTGTAAAGATACACACCTCGGAAACCCTATATAGTGTCACTATGAGTTGGAATTGACTTGATGGCACTGGGTATGCAAAACTATAGTATGGGGTCACCAGTATAAAAGATAGATATGAAAAATTATGGATAGCATATTCATCAAATGTTAATAGTTTTTTTGGGGGGGTATTGAGATGATATGTCATATTAAACCTGACCATTTGTACTTTTTAATATTCTAAAATATCTAATAATTATGGATTTTTTTTTAAGCAAAGAAGATAGATCTTTTCGTGATGTTGAAGCAAGCCATTCTTTCAGTTTTAATCCTGTGGTCGTTCCATACTTTCTTGTCAACTTGTTAAATAGGTTATATATAGTGGTGGAGTCTAGTCTTGTCAATCAGGTCATAGCCAGTAAGGCCTCTGTGTGGGCATGGCCTTCTCCTGAGGCTTCTGGGAACTCCTGTCTTCCTCCCTGGAGGCGGGACACACATTCTTTCTGCTTCATCTCCCTGCTGAAAAGCCATATGGCGCTATGCTGAGGGAGGCAGAGCCCTGGAGCTGGAGGAGCCACGTGGAGCCCCACACAGTCCTGAGATGCCTCTACTGCCACTGGATCCATAAAAGTTTCCATCCACTGGCCTGTGATCTTCCTGCATTCAGTGTCATTGCATGTGTTATGTGAGTCTGAAGAGAAATTTTATAGACTGGTATTGGACAGATGGGCCAATATCAGACTTATGGACTTGAACTGGACTGGGCTGGAATGTTTTCTTAATATGCAATTACTCTTTGATGTAAAACTCTTTCTTATACACATGAGTGGACGCTGACCTCGGTATCTCCCATGGTACAGTGTATCTCTTCTTCATTTCCAGATCTGGTTCCTTCAATCATGAGCAACTTACTGAATCCAGACGCCATTTTCTCAAACAATGAGATGAGCCTGTCAGATATTGAGATCTACGGCTTCGATTATGATTACACTTTGGTGTTTTACTCAAAGCACCTCCACACGCTGATATTTAATGCGGCCCGGGACCTCCTCATCAACGAGCACAGGGTAAGCACACCTCCTTTTTCTGATTAGGCACGTGACGAGCAGCCTCTATGAACTGATGCTATGACCCCGTTGCTGGGCCAGGGGAAGTTGGTCTGTGCTGAATGAGTGACTAGAGTCAGTTTTGTCCCAAATCTCGAAATCTGCAAGGCAGTTGTTTTTAAAAATAATCTTCAGCTATCACGTTGATATAAGTCTTGCTGACAGGCAAGACAGGTGGAGACTAAGCTGTAGGCAGATGTTGATGCCCTGGGTGCTTACAGAGCAGTGACACAGTTCCTGCAGGCCATATGACGTGGCAAACGACCAGCCATCTTTTGCCCTCGGCACCCATTGGAATTGCTTTTTTCTTTTTATAATGTAGCGAGTCTTTCGATGTCTTCAGGGCCCTGATCGGAATAGCTTCTTTTAACCTACCTAGATAGTATTTGGATGTCTTCGGAGGCACAGGCTTGTGGAGACTTTACAATGAAGTCGGAGCAAGACACCCCAGCCCTTAGCGTTCTTTCCTCCAGTGTGGACCAGGAACCAGGGCGGGGCGCGTCCTTGAAGGTCTTGTGGCCTGTTTGTGGCTTTCCCAGAACACCCTTAGAAATGGAGCCCGAGTCTCAATCTTGGACTGGACTATACTACCCGAGGGGGGTGGGGGTGGGTTGACTGGCCATCAAATTTTCCTGAAGGGTTGAAGAACTTTCACCAGCAATCTGTTTTCTCCCCTCCCCTGCCCCATCTCTCCTCTCCCTTCGCTTGTCTCGAGTGCCTCTCTGGGTCTGTAACCAGCTGGAGCATAAAGAGGAGGACATGGTACTGCCCTTTGAGAAACAGCAGTCAAATGGGGGAGTGACCCATGTGGGTGGCTAAGTGATGGAGCCAGGTGGGGGAGGCTTCGATAGGGGTCTGGGAGGCACAGAGAGCTGAGATACCCAGGGGTGCCTGAGGGAATTGGCGCATGACCAAAAAAAAGGTGCTCGTTCAGCCAAGCGTTTGAAGGAGTTTGCCAAGAAGGGTGGACCTTGGGGCTGGATGATTGTATAACTAGACACTAAATCGTGGAAACGGATCTTGTTATCTTTGATCATGTGGGTCTCAGGTTTATCGTGGGCTGGTGTTATATAGATAAGCCTCATTGGGCCTTCTAAGACCTTTCTTTCTTTCCAGGCTGCTTGTTGATGGTCTCTTCAGCTGTTCTCCTTGGTCCTATTGGAAGTTCCTCACATTGTCAGGGTCACCCTTCTTTTATGTGCTACGGTTGGTCCCTCCCAAACGTGAGGCCATGACCCGAAGGGGGAGACGCTCACCTCCCTGATTCAGGATGGCACACTGCTTATTCACACAGCCAGCATCCCCATTCGTTTCACGGTCCTGACCATTTCATCCCGTCTCTTTCTTGGTCCCATCGGCTCTTGGTTATCCGAGGATTGAGCAAGCCACCCACTGTGTCCTCTTCCAATGCAGAAATGGCCTTGACCAAAAATTACCTTCGCGCCTGCCATTCATCCAACAGCCAGTGGATGGCGCTTCCCGTAGGTGTAAACCGTCCAGCCACATGCCGCCCAGCTGCATCTCCTCCGCTGTTCCAGACACACGCTCTCGTCCATCAGACCTGGGGGCCTCTCCTTGGACCACAAGGAGAGTGTAGTGTGGGAGCAAAATGATTATGCCTGTGTTCTCCTGGCTGACAGTCGACACCCTGGTCCCCAGCCTTTTGGGTGTTGGCTTTCTATACCAAGGTCGCCTGACCTCAATTTCTGTGACTCGAAATTGAGTGATTTGAGTCATCTGTAAACCACACCATCCAGCCGTCCCCCCTCCCCCCGAAAAAAAGCAGTCTCTACAGATTCAAATATTGGCTTTTCCCACTTATTTCCTGTGTCATCTTGAGCAGCTCACGTAATTTCTGTGGGCCTTCGTTCCCTCCTCTTTATAGTGAGTGTAGTAACAGTGCTCTCGCCCTGAAATGAGTTACTGTCTGCCATTGGCCGCCACATAGAAAACGCTCAGGCAATGTGAGCTGTTGCCATTATTCTTATTTCTAATCTTCCTATCAGTTGCTCATGTGGGGGCCTCTGCTTTACAGTTGGGGAGACTGAGGTTAAGGAGTTGAGCCACTAGTTCAAGGCTGTGGGCCAGAGCTGCAGGAGGCAGAACCAGGCTTTGAACTTAGATCCGTTCGTTTCCAAGCACTGGGGCTCTCTCCCCTCCTCCTGAGGCCCATTGCAGGACTGGCCAGTCCTTCCCTCCCTATTTCAGTGTTCATTGTTCAGATGAAAAGAAAATATTCATGCAAATTAAAAATTTATAAGATTTTGGGGGTGAAGAGAGATGAAATGGATGGAAAAATAAAAGGTGTAATTATCACGCTTAGAAGAGCGGCTCAATTGAAGATCATTGAAATCTCACTCCCCTCGTGTCTGTTTCAGGGACTTTAATAAAAGGGACGTTCTAATGCTAATTATATCAGGCATATTAATAGAGTCAGTTGTGCTTATGCAGATTTTATTCTCGTGCTCTGATTAAACAAAATGAGCCGTTTCTCCTGCCAGGACTCGATGAGAGATGTAAAAACAGCTGCTTTTGAGACGCACGGCAAAGCTGCCATTCTGCATCTCTCTAAACTGCGATGTAAATACTCCAGCTCTTCCCTCACTACCTTTTACTTTTTTTTTTTT